TCTGGTATCACGAAGTCAAATGTACAAGTTATAATAGCCTTCGTTTTGCAGTTACTCTTTACCAAGATTTGTATTTATATGTTTTCAATACCTCAAAGACTGACCCAGTCTGTACTGCATTACACTTATAAACATAACATTTTGAAACATAACTGAGACTATCTTCTGCATCCTAATATCCCATCATTATTTGTTGTCTATAACATTGTGGTTTAGATGATTTAAAAATTGTGTTGTTGTTGCCAGTTTATTAATGTAAACCGAAATGGCATTAGTTTTGGACAGTAAAACGTACAATGGTTAATGGAGTGAATAGCATTGCACCAATCATCTGTTCTGTTTTAGTATTATTACATTGCTGTTTAAATTATTGTAACTGAATTATTGTAATGAAATGATAGTAACTGTGTTACGATGTTTGTGTGATAAGTCGTCAGGTATGTAGTACTATTTAATATGATCTGTTGTCAGGAAGTATGAATTTAGATGCTATTGTGGTGTGTAAACTTCCGGTCCGGTATCCCGCGGAAGGTGATATCTGTTATAGAAACACGTGGAATATTCTTTGTTGTTAGGGCACTGTGTAGAAATTTGCAGAAGCGAGGTAGGTTGTATGTAAGCAGACAAGAGCGTGTTTACACATGTCGCTCACACTTATCATCACATCAGGAACAGCTTTCGTGTGTGGATCACTCACCACCCCTGAATTCCTGGCAATGCATATCTCGGAAGCTTTACCACTGTCGCCACTGGGTGAATATAAATTATTATCACTGATTTTTGCTATCACCCTGTATTTTTGTATTTGATATTGACCACTGCAATCATATTATTTATTGCCTTTGAATATTATACTATCATTCTATTGCTTTCTGCCACTGTAGAATTGTGCAGTTATTTGTATTGATATATCAACTTAGTGAATTTTGTAATACATTTGTTGATTGTATAGCATTCATTGGTTGTTTGTTGGTTTCACTCATACACATTTCTGGGTTAACATATTTTGTAAATTTGATAATCGACACTTTACAGTATGAAGACATTATATGAGATAATTTTATGAATTGTCATAAAAATGAATTGCTTAACCTTTTCTGTAAGACATGTTTCCACTTTTATTTTCTACCTTAGGTCATTCCTTCAATTTTTCGTTTTGAAACACAACAAAATTGAGATTTTACAGGCGTTTCAATGACTGGGTGTTACGTTGTAGCAGTCTTCCTGGGGCTTATGTGGTTTTATGGGTCCTGAGTTTTATACCATAAGACCGGAGGCCGGAAGCGAGTGGTGTAAAACCTAAAGAGGGACGCATAAAACCGCATAGACCCCGAGGAGTTGCATCGAATTTATCTTGCCGACATGTTTCAATCTGCAATAAGACAATTATTAAACAAATTGAAAATCAAGAGAAAACAGCTGTTCTTATGAGTTGGGGTTAACATGTGCTGTGACTTTTATTGTCTTTTTGCTTCTTAGTGGGTAAAGTGATTTGTTCTTCAGCCGAGAAATCCACGTGCAGCCTGTTATCTTCGTGGCGGGGCATACGGCATTGATATCGAAGCGTATAAGTGCCACATTCTAAAAAATAATCTATGTAGATGATACTTACATAAACGTAGACCGTATTTACATCTACGTAGAGGATGCTTCTCACATCTACGTATATATTATAATCGTGAGTATCATTACTCAGCCAGTGATTTTGTTCAATAGTAGATGATACTTTCTTCTACGTAAATGTGAGTAGCTTACCACGGTCAGGATAGACCCTCAGCAACCTATATGTACCAACCGACTAAATGGGTGGGGCAAGTGGTTAGGCTCGATTGCTTTCTTGACTGCTGTTATCACACCCCGACTGCGTAACACCTTGTGTCACGTTTACGGCTTGCCTTTCACAAGTCCCTGAGGCAAAATTTATGAGTTTAAATAATAATTCATGGATTATATAAAAACAAGAACAAGTTGTCACTATAAGTCATTCACGTCGTTACTGTCCGCTTATCAGACTTGCCTATTATTAGGAAAGAATTACTCTACACCCAAGAACTTCCTGATTCCCTACAGCCTTGGAAGCGTGGCGTGGCGGGTGATGGCGCGGCATGGTGTGGCGTGGCGTGGCGTGGCGTGGCGTGGCGTGTGATGGCGTGGCGTGGCGTGGCGTGGCGTGGCGTGGCGATGATTCCCTGCGGTCGGCATTGAGGGGAATAAACAAAGAATGGCCGGCTCGGAGTAAGTATTATGTGTCTGAATAGAGTATCCATGTTAACCTAGCGGCAGCATGGTTTCTCAGTAGGCTAGCACTACAAAACCAGCATAAATCTGGACAAGTACAAACACAGACACAGACAGACACACACAAACACACACACATAAGGTGATAGTTTAAGAGAATTAAAATGAGGATTTACTGCCTTTGTATATTATAATATGATTCTATTGTTTTCTGCCCTTGGAATTGTTGTGCAGTTATTTGTTTTGATATAGTAACTTAGTGGATTTTGTAATACATTTGTTGATTGTGTAGCATTCGTTGTTTGTTGGTTGGTTTCACTCTTAGTTCTTTTACATTCACATTTCTGTGTTAACACATTGTTTCAATTCGAGAATCGGCACTTAACAGTATGTACACATTATATGAGAAAATTTTGTGAACTGTCTTAAGAATGAATTTTTTAACCTTTTCCGTAAGACATGTTTCCACTTTTATTTGTCTACCTTTGGTCATTCCTTCATTATTTCGTTTTGAAACACAACAAAATTGAGATTTTACAGGCGTTTCATTGACTGGGTGTTACGTTGTAGCAGTCTTTCTGGGGCTTATGTGGTTTTATGGGTCCTGAGTTAGGTTTTGTACCTTAGGCCGGAGGCGAGCGGTATAAAACCCAACGAGGGACTCGTTGACACCGCATAGACACCAAGGAATTTATCTTGCCGACATGTTTCAATCTGCAATTGGACAATTATTAAACAAATTGAAAATTAAGAGAAAACAGCTGTTCGAATGAGTTGGGGTTAACTTGTCCTGTGTCACGTGACTTTCATTGAATTTTTGCTTCTTAGTGGGTAGAGTGATTTGTTCTTCAGCGAGAAATCCACGTGCAGCCTGTTATCTTCGTGGTGGGGCATACAGGATTTATATCGAAGCGTATTAGTGCCACGTTCTAAAAAATAATCTATGTAGATGATACTTACATGTACGTAGACCATATTTACATCTACGTAGAGGATACTACTCACATCTACGTATATATTATAATCGTGAGTATCATTACTCGGACAGATTTTGTTCAATAGTAGATGATACTTTCTTCTACGTAAATGTGAGAAGCTTACCACGGTCAGGATAGATCCTCAGCAACCTATATGTACCAGCCGACTTAATGGATGGGGCAAGTGGTTAGGCTCGGTGGCTTTCTTGGCTGCTGTTATCACACCCCGACTGCGTAAGACCTTGTGTGTATAAGGATAGAATTACTCTACACCCAAGGACTTCCTTATTCCCTACAGCCTTGGAAGCGTGGCGTGGCACGGCGCAGCGCAGCATAGCGTGGCGATGATTCCCTGTGGTCGGCATTGAGGGGAATAAACAAGGAATGGCCGGCTCGAAGTAAGTATTATGTGTCTGAATAGAGTATCCATGTTAACCTAGCTGCAGCATGGTTTCTCAGTAGGCTAGCACTACAAAACCAGCATAAATCTGGACAAGTACAAACACACAGACACAGACAGACAGACACACACATGGTGTTGGTTTAAGACAATTAAAATGAGGATTTAGTGGCACTTGGCGTGGTATATGTGTCAGGATGATTGTCTCAGAATGCATGCAGTGTAATAACGATAAAAGCACTCCACATCAGTTCCAACTGCCAGGTTCTCAAGTATAATCGGACTTTATTGGTTAGTAATTACAAAATGAATTTGTTACACAAATTTAGGCAATTCTGACTGAGCGTGAACTCCCGAAAACTTGCATTTATATTCAACAAATGCACAAAAACATACATTTGTATTCAATAAATGCACAGAGGCTTTCATTCAACATTTATATTCCAATTACACAGACAAACGTGCATTTATAATCGATAAATGCATAAAATCGTGCATTTATATTCCATAAATGCACAAAAACTTGCATTCATATTCAATAAATGCACAACAAACTTACATTTATACATCATACATGCACGTTTTACCGGAAGTGACAGAACTACTTTCCAAATGACGACGACCTTGTTTACGTCTATGAATAGATTGCTGTCGGGAATATCTTTCCAAATGCGATTGATATTTCAAGGCCCTTTTAATAATTGTTTCTCAATTTTTGTGCATGCATCGAACTATAAATTTGATATATTATCGCTACGTCATACGCGATATACTCCAATGTTTCTTCAAACGAAAGGTGTCCCGACGTCGTCAATTTTTAAAATGCTGCATGTTCCCACTTAACATGAACCACGCTTGAAATTAGGACGTTAGCTGCTGCTGCAATGCTCGCTGTCAATGCAATGCTGGTATGACGTCCTTAATATAGTCCCTTTCGAAAACAAATAGTTCCGCAGTTTCCTCCCTCAGGTATAACACCGGTGAAAGTGAAACATTTACACAAGCGATATCCATTCAATAAAATTGGTTAATGTAGCAAAAACGTTTGTTTGTCATTTACATGTATATGACGTAGAGATATTAATGTAATCTTGCGCCTAACGCTATGCAGCGAACTGATCAAATTTGTCAAACAAACCTGATAATTAGAGTAAATATACTAGATCAGGATCGATTTTGTAATTCTAAGAATTGCTTCATTTTTGTGCATGCATCGAAGTACAACAGTGATACATTGTGAATACAATCGCCCCTCTATGCGACTTAATACAATTTGTGAATATTATACCTCGATACATGCACAAAAAAAATCAAACATTTCTTGAATAACAACACACATGTAGATTGGATGAGTGTTGCGAGTTAAATAAACAAAAAGAAAGCAATACACTTGAAATTTGTATCCGATCGAAATTTTACAAAAGTTATCAAAATGTAATTTTGGTGAAAAGAGAAGCCGAAACACTAAAAAGTGAGGTCTAAAACGCAGCTATAATGCCCTTATCAAATACATCAGCATCGAATAATCGTTTCTGGTTTGTTTCATTTTTCGCCACCGTGAACCATGGGCGGACACTTTACTCGGCAGTATAGGTGAGCGTGTTTTAAAACTAACTACACTTTCCTGGTTACGAGAGAACAAAATTAGATTGGAGGGTAGTCTGTGTATCAGATGTCTATCACTGTACACCCAAGAACACACTTGCAATGTCAGAGACGGGGAAGAACCACCCTACGATGACGTCTTAGGCGTAAAGATTATTACGGGCATGTGGTTGAGGTGAAGTCGCATGTCCGCAGGCCGTCATCCCAGACAAGCTCAGCGGGACACGGTTTAACAACAGAATCCCCCCAGTTGCAATGAACAAACTCCGAGCAGGATTCACACGACTGGTATTCCCCATTGTCGCGGTCACTGCAGCTGGAAACGCAGCCCCGAGGAGACGACGTCGTTGTAGTGACAACAGAACATGTCGGAGACGTTTCTTCACAACTCTTGAGGAGGTCGTTCCACACCTTGACCCCAGAACAGTTGCGTCGCGTAAGAGCGCCTCCCGCACAGGCGATGTATCCGTAGCAGGATTCACAGGATTGGTAGTCGCCGTCAGAGGCCCCACTGCAGCTCCACATGCAGGCGGAAGAGGCTGGAACGAGTTAGTGAGAGAGTTAGGTTTTTAGCTGCTCAGGGGAAGATTTCAGCTCTATGGCTGCGTCTCCGTTAGAACACGTAATACACGGACAGTGACAAGGTATCCACACTTACGTCATACACCGACAACCACAGGGTAACCATATATACTTCATACATTGTCAATGACAAGGTTGTCATAAATACTTAATACTCCGCCAATGACAAGGTTGCCATAATACTTAATACTCCGCCAATGACAAGGTTGTCATAAATACTTAATACTCCGCCAATGACAAGGTTGTCATAAATACTTAATACACCGCCAATGACAAGGTTGTCATCAATACTTAATACTCCGCCAATGACAAGGTTGTCATCAATACTTAATACTCCGCCAATGACAAGGTTGTCATAAATACTTAATACTCCGCCAATGACAAGGTTGTCATAAATACTTAATACTTCGCCAATGACAAGGTTGTCATAAATACTTAATACTCCACATATGACAAGGTTGTCATAAATACTTAATACTCCGCCAATGACAAGGTTGTCATAAATACTTAATACTCCGCCAATGACAATGTTGTCATAAATACTTAATACTCCGCCAATGACAAGGTTGTCATAAATACTTAATACACCGCCAATGACAAGGTTGTCATCAATACTTAATACTCCGCCAATGACAGGTTGTCATAAACACTTAATACTCCGCCAATGACAAGGTTGCCATAAATAATTAATACAACGCCAATGACAAGGTTCTCATAAATACTTAATACTCCGCCAATGACAAGGTTGTCATAAATACTTAATACTCCGCCAATGACAAGGTTACCATATACACTTCATACACCGACAACCACAGGGTAACCATCTATACTTCATACATTGTCAATGACAACGTTGTCATAAATACTTAATACTCCGCCAATGACAAGGTAACCATACATACTTCATACACCGACAACGACAAGGTAACCATTCATACTTAATACACCGCTAATGACAAGGTAACCATTCATACTTAATACATCGCCAATGACAAGGTGATCACATATACTTACTACACCGCCAATGACAAGGTCATCACATATACTTAATACACCGACAATGACAAGGTCATTACATATACTTACTACTCTGCAAATGACAAGGTGATCACATATACTTAATACTCTGCCAATGAGAAGGTGACCACATATACTTAATACACCGCCAATGACAAGGTCATCACGTATACTTAATACTCTGCCAATGACAAGGTGTTCACATATACTTAATACACCGCCAATGACAAAGCGATCACATATACTTAATACTCTGCCAATGACAAGGTCATCACATATACTTAATACACCGCCAATGACAAGGTCATCACATATACTTAATACTCCGCCAATGACAAGGTCATCACGTATACTTAATACTCTGCCAATGACAAGGTCATCACATATACTTAATACACCGCCAATGACAAGGTCATCACATATACTTAATACTCCGCCAATGACAAGGTCATCACGTATACTTAATACACTGCCAATGACAAGGTCATCACGTATACTTAATACTCTGCCAATGACAAGGTCATCACATATACTTAATACACCGCCAATGACAAGGTCATCACATATACTTAATACTCTGCCAATGACAAGGTGATCACATATACTTAATACACCCCCAATGAGAAGGTCATCACATATACTTAATACACCGCCAATGACAAGGTCATCACGTATACTTAATACTCCGCCAATGACAATGTTGTCATAAATACTTAATACTCCGCCAATGACAAGGTAACCATACATACTTCATACACCGACAACGACAAGGTAACCATTCATACTTAATACACCGCTAATGACAAGGTAACCATTCATACTTAATACATCGCCAATGACAAAGTGATCACATATACTTAATACACCGCCAATGACAAGGTCATCACATATACTTAATACACCGACAATGACAAGGCCATTACATATACTTACTACTCTGCAAATGACAAGGTGCTCACATATACATAATACTCTGCCAATGACAAGGTGATCACATATACTTAATACACCGCCAATGACAAGGTCATCACATATACTTAATACACCGCCAATGACAAGGTCATCACATATACTTAATACTCTGCCAATGACAAGGTGATCACATATACTTAATACACCCCCAATGAGAAGGTGATCACATATACTTAATACACCGCCAATGACAAGGTCATCACGTATACTTAATACTCCGCCATTGACAATGTTGTCATAAATACTTAATACTCCGCCAATGACAAGGTTGTCATAAATACTTAATACTCCGCCAATGACAAGGTTGTCATAAACACTTAATACTCCGCCAATGACAAGGTTGTCATAAATACTTAATACTCCGCCAATGACAAGGTTCTCATTAATACTTAATACTCCGCCAATGACAGGTTGTCATAAACACTTAATACTCCGCCAATGACAAGGTTGTCATAAATACTTAATACTCCGCCAATGACAAGGTTCTCATTAATACTTAATACTCCGCCAATGACAAGGTTGTCATAAATACTTAATACTCCGCCAATGACAAGGTTACCATATACACTTCATACACCGACAATCACAGGGTAACCATCTATACTTCATACATTGTCAATGACAAGGTTTTCATAAATACTTAATACTCCGCCAATGACAAGGTAACCATACATACTTCATACACCGACAACGACAAGGTAACCATTCATACTTAATACACCGCTAATGACAAGGTAACCATTCATACTTAATACATCGCCAATGACAAGGTGATCACATATACTTACTACACCGCCAATGACAAGGTCATCACATATACTTAATACACCGACAATGACAAGGTCATTACATATACTTACTCCTCTGCCAATGACAAGGTGCTCACATATACATAATACTCTGCCAATGACAAGGTCATCACATATACTTAATACTCTGCCAATGACAAGGTCATCACATATACTTAATACACCGCCAATGACAAGGTCATCACATATACTAAATACTCCGCCAATGACAAAGCGATCACATATACTTTATACTCCGCCAATGACAAGGTCATCACATATACTTAATACACCGCCAATGTCAAGGTGATCACATATACTTAATACACCCCCAATGAGAAGGTGATCACATATACTTAATACACCGCCAATGACAAGGTCATCACATATACTTAATACACCGCCAATGTCAAGGTGATCACATATACTTAATACACCCCCAATGAGAAGGTCATCACATATACTAAATACTCCGCCAATGACAAAGCGATCACATATACTTTATACTCCGCCAATGACAAGGTCATCACATATACTTAATACACCGCCAATGTCAAGGTGATCACATATACTTAATACACCCCCAATGAGAAGGTGATCACATATACTTAATACACCGCCAATGACAAGGTCATCACGTATACTTAATACTCTGCCAATGAGAAAGTAACCACACAGACTTGAGTGATCTACTTGCAAGTTATGTCCTATAAGGCAACATTTAAAGTTTCTATAAACTGTGAAAACTATTTGAACCTCAAAACACAAAGCAACAACAAAAGTTATCTTTCTCATTTTCGTTTAAGTTGTCATGACCTTGAAATTGAGCGTGGACGTCACTTCAATATACCTATACATTAAAGAAAATGTAATCTTTGTAACTTTGTAAACTGCTTTGAAAATGAATTCCCTTTTCTTTTAGTGGGTCCAGCCTAAGGACCTAACATCAATAAATTTAATATATTAATGTCATCGCCAAACTCTAACATCATTACTGATCTAGCAAAATATTTGTACCATGCACATATGGAAAGAAATGTACAGTTAACTGCAAACACGCCTGAACCAAAGGCCTGGGGCCTGAATGTACTGAAATGAATTGATTGAAAGCAATAACAGGTTTCGCATGTGTTGTCATTGTACCTGTAATATAAACACATATTATTAAAATGGTTGACACGCATTAGCAACGCCCTCATATTCTTTATACTATCATACACATGGAGATTCGTTATGCACGAGGGCAGTAAAATATTGTTGCTGTTATGTGTGGATTTTATTTTATAGTGTGTGGCATTATATTTATTTACAGAAACACAAACACACACGTACCTATTCCAGCTGCCACAGCGGGTGCAGGATTGGTTGTAGGACTGGTTGTAGGGCTGGTTGTAGGACTGGTTGTAGGACTGGTTGTAGGACTGGTTGTAGGACTGGTTGTAGGGCTGGTTGTAGGACTGGTTGTAGGACTGGTTGTAGGACTGGTTGTAGGGCTGGTTGTAGGGCTAGTTGTAGGACTGGTTGTAGGACTGGTTGTAGGACTGGTTGTAGGACTGGTTGTAGGACTGGTTGTAGGGCTGGTTGTAGGACTGGTTGTAAGACTGGTTGTAGGGCTGGTTGTAGGGCTAGTTGTAGGACTGGTGGTAGGACTGGTTGTAGGGCTGGTTGTAGGACTGGTGGTAGGACTGGTTGTAGGGCTGGTTGTAGGACTGGTTGTAGGACTGGTTGTAGGGCTGGTTGTAGGACTGGTTGTAGGACTGGTTGTAGGACTGGTTGTAGGACTGGTTGTAGGACTGGTTGTAGGACTGGTTGTAGGGCTGGTTGTAGGACTGGTTGTAGGACTGGTTGTAGGACTGGTTGTAGGGCTAGTTGTAGGACTGGTTGTAGGACTGGTTGAAGGACTGGTTGTAGGACTGGTTGTAGGACTGGTTGTAGGGCTGGTTGTAGGACTGGTTGTAGGACTGGTTGTAGGGCTGGTTGTAGGGCTAGTTGTAGGACTGGTGGTAGGACTGGTTGTAGGGCTGGTTGTAGGACTGGTTGTAGGACTGGTTGTAGCGCTGGTTGTAGGGCTGGTTGTAGGGCTGGTTGTAGCGCTGGTTGTAGGGCTGGTTGTAGGGCTGGTTGTTGGGCTTGTTTCTGTACAGGTACTTGACGTAGGTTCGCATGTCTTCAGGTTATCATCCCATACCAGAACTTGTCCGTCTTCCTCCGGACAGGGATTGTTAAAGAGAATATTTCCAACGCATATTATGAAACCAGTACAGGTATCACACGACTGATAGGTGCCACTGACAACTCCAACACAGCTGTCTACACACATCGTCATAGTTGTAGGGCTGGTTGTAGGGCTGGTTGTAGGGCTGGTTGTAGGGCTAGTTGTAGGACTGGTTGTAGGGCTGGTTGAAGGACTGGTTGTAGGACTGGTTGTAGGACTGGTTGTAGGACTGGTTGTAGGGCTGGTTGTAGGGCTAGTTGTAGGACTGGTGGTAGGACTGGTTGTAGGGCTGGTTGTAGGACTGGTTGTAAGACTGGTTGTAGGGCTGGTTGTAGGGCTAGTTGTAGGACTGGTGGTAGGACTGGTTGTAGGGCTGGTTGTAGGACTGGTTGTAGGACTGGTTGTTGGGCTTGTTGTAGGACTGGTTGTAGGGCTGGTTGTAGGGCTAGTTGTAGGACTGGTGGTAGGACTGGTTGTAGGGCTGGTTGTAGGACTGGTTGTAGGACTGGTTGTAGCGCTGGTTGTAGGGCTGGTTGTAGGGCTGGTTGTAGCGCTGGTTGTAGGGCTGGTTGTAGGGCTGGTTGTAGGGCTGGTTGTAGGGCTGGTTGTTGGGCTGGTTGTTGGGCTTGTTTCTGTACAGGTACTTGACGTAGGTTCGCATGTCTTCAGGTTATCATCCCATACCAGAACTTGTCCGTCTTCCTCCGGACAGGGATTGTTAAAGAGAATATTTCCAACGCATATTATGAAACCAGTACAGGTATCACACGACTGATAGGTGCCACTGACAACTCCAACACAGCTGTCTACACACATCGTCATAGTTGTAGGGCTGGTTGTAGGGCTGGTTGTAGGGCTGGTTGTAGGGCTGGTTGTAGGGCTAGTTGTAGGACTGGTTGTAGGGCTGGTTGTAGGACTGGTTGTAGGACTGGTTGTAGGACTGGTTGTAGGGCTGGTTGTAGGGCTAGTTGTAGGACTGGTGGTAGGACTGGTTGTAGGGCTGGTTGTAGGACTGGTTGTAGGACTGGTTGTAGGGCTTGTTGTAGGACTGGTTGTGGGACTGGTTGTAAGACTGGTTGTAGGGCTGGTGGTAGGACTTGTTGTAGGACTGGTTGTAGGGCTGGTTGTAGGACTGGTTGTAGGGCTTGTTGTAGGACTGGTTGTAGGGCTTGTTGTAGGGCTAGTTGTAGGGCTGGTTGTAGGGCTGGTTGTAGGGCTGGTTGTAGGGCTGGTTGTTGGGCTGGTTGTTGGGCTTGTTTCTGTACAGGTACTTGACGTAGGTTCGCATGTCTTCAGATTATCATCCCATACCAGAACTTGTCCGTCTTCCTCCGGACAGGGATTGTTAAAGAGCATATTTCCAACGCATATTATGAAATCAGTACAGGTCTCACATGACTGATAGGTGCCACTGACAACTCCAACACAGCTGTCTACACACATCGTCATAGTTGTAGGGCTGGTTGTAGGGCTGGTTGTGGGGCTGGTTGTAGGGCTGGTTGTAGGACTGGTTGTAAGACTGGTTGTAGGGCTGGTGGTAGGACTTGTTGTAGGACTGGTTGTAGGACTGGTTGTAGGGCTGGTTGTAGGACTGGTTGTAGGGCTTGTTGTAGGACTGGTTGTAGGACTGGTTGTAGGACTGGTTGTAGGACTGGTTGTAGGGCTGGTTGTAGGGCTGGTTGTTGGGCTGGTTGTTGGGCTTGTTTCTGTACAGGTACTTGACGTAGGTTCGCATGTCTTCAGGTTATCATCCCATACCAGAACTTGTCCGTCAACTGTCTGACACGGATTGTTAAGGAGAATATTTCCAACGCATATTATGAAACCAGTACAGGTATCACACGACTGATAGGTGCCACTGACAACTCCAACACAGCTGTCTACACACATCGTCATAGTTGTAGGGCTGGTTGTAGGACTGGTTGTAGGACTGGTTGTTGGGCTGGTCGTAGGACTGGTTGTAGGGCTGGTTGTAGGGCTGGTTGTAGGACTGGTTGTTGGACTGGTTGTAGGGCTGGTTGTAGGGCTAGTTGTAGGACTGGTTGTAGGGCTGGTGGTAGGACTGGTTGTAGGACTTGTTGTAGGGCTGGTTGTAAGACTGGTTGTAGGACTGGTTGTTGGGCTGGTTGTTGGGCTTGTTTCTGTACAGGTACTTGATGTAAGTTCGCATGTCTTCAGGTTATCATCCCATACAAGAACTTGTCCGTCAACTGTCGGACACGGATTGTTAAAGAGATTATTTGCAAAACACAATATGAAACCAGTGCACGTATCACACGACTGATAGACGCCATTCACAACTCCAACACAGCTGGTTACACACATCGACATAGTGGTAGGACTGGTGGTAGGGCTGGTTGTAGGGCTGGTTGTTGGGCTTGTTTCTGTACAGGTACTTGATGTAAGTTCGCATGTCTTCAGGTTATCATCCCATACCAGAACTTGTCCGTCAACTGTCGGACACGGATTGTTAAAGAGATTATTTGCAAAACACAATATGAAACCAGTGCACGTATCACACGACTGATAGACGCCATTCACAACTCCAACACAGCTGGTTACACACATCGACATAGTGATAGGACTGGTGGTAGGGCTGGTTGTAGGGCTGGTTGTAGGGCTGGTTGTTGGGCTTGTTTCTGTACAGGTACTTGATGTAAGTTCGCATGTCTTCAGGTTATCATCCCATACAAGAACTTGTCCGTCAACTGTCGGACACGGATTGTTAAAGAGATTATTTGCAAAACACAATATGAAACCAGTGCACGTATCACACGACTGATAGACGCCATTCACAACTCCAACACAGCTGGTTACACACATCGACATAGTGGTAGGACTGGTGGTAGGGCTGGTTGTAGGGCTGGTTGTAGGGCTGGTTGTTGGGCTTGTTTCTGTACAGGTACTTGATGTAAGTTCGCATGTCTTCAGGTTATCATCCCATACAAGAACTTGTCCGTCAACTGTCGGACACGGATTGTTAAAGAGATTATTTGCAAAACACAATATGAAACCAGTGCACGTATCACACGACTGATAGGTGCCACTCACAACTCCAACACAGCTGGTTACACACATCGACATAGTTGTAGGACTGGTGGTAGGGCTGGTTGTAGGGCTGGTTGTAAGGCTTGTTGTATCACTGGTCGGAAAAGAAAGAAAATACACGTTTTCAGTCATATCTATTTGTTTTTACTTTTATAGAAATCCTTTACGTGATAACTCATCCTATCTCCTCGTTGACCTCTTGGTGACTTCTGACAGAGCTAATTCTGTAGTTCATTGATGTGAGTGAGTTCGCGCGGACTAGCGAAACTAAATGAGTGATCTAAATCCCTTTCGACATGCAGATATATTAAGACAGGTGCCATTTATACTGCTGTTCACTTTCCCGAGGCAAGCGTGTCCAACAACCTGTAACAAAGTCTAGTTTACAGCCTTTTTTCTTTAAGCCAACCCTTCTGTGCTGAAATACGAGAGGAGTATCGCGGATATCGATAGTCCAGTCAGAGAACGTTTAACAGAATCAACGTCCAGGTTCCGAAAAAGTGCTCTCTGCCATGGCCTCACTATCGCCTGTCGAATTTGCGCTGACATTATCCCCCCACAAATTGAAGTGGTTTCAATTTTTTAATGAACTCGCCCAACTACTTTTATATATTTGAGTGCAGATTTTTTTAAACTTCAACGACGGAACGCTGATCACAGTGACAGAGATGAGAGTGTCGTGTTTCCGCGATGTGCAGTGTGTCTATTGATACTGTGTGGTGTGTATGCCTCCATTATTGTAAGAGCGAAATGCCACAGTAACAAGTATCTTCGGTGTGGCATCACTTCACCGTGGCATCATACATAATTTTGTATGTCTGTCAGGGACGACATTTCAAATCTGTACTTTATCTGTGCTACCAGGTGGTTTGCTATGGTGGCCTTCTTGTGAAGCTATTCGAAATAAGAACAGCGATCTGATTGGATATTGCGTTTTCCTCACAAGGGAAACAACTCGTTTTCTACACAGGGTGGCACCATGGTCGAGAAAGTAGGCCTGAAATGGCAAGTGTTCAAGCTAGGCTTTGATATAAGCGAGTGGATCGGGAGTAAAGCTTCGGATATGTGTCACAGGTGCACCGCACGCATACGTCCTCACAAACATGAGGGCAATCATGTCACATGATTTATCTCCCTGGTTTGTAATAAAATGAAAATATATCATACAATCATTCATGATTGAGTGAGTGAGTGAGTTTTATTACGCCACTGTCGTATTTCAGTTCTGTGTCGACCACCATGTGGCGTTGTAATTAATTTGGCTTTAGAGTAACATCATTCGACACACTGGTCACTTAGTAATGGTGATCATAATAAAAATTTGGGAATTCAGAAACTTTGTAAATGTGAATTGAAGTACAATAGTAATTGTTGTATGTAATCGTTGTATTGTAAATGAATTAGAGTTCTTTGCCTGACTATCGCACTCGTTTTATTTCTGCTGACCACACGGTGTGCCAGATATTTGTGTGAGGAACGGGAAAAGTGACCTTAAATGGTTACCAGTTTGAACAAACTCAGAAGCAATATGGCGCTGAAACCATAGCAACATAATCAGGAGCAACCTGTGTTCGAACCCACTATCATAGGATTCTAACACGCCTAAGGGAAGCAACTTTTGAGGATACCAAGTTGTATTCTCAAAGTTTTCGAAAGTTCGCTAAATATATGTCAAAGGAGAAGGTCAAGTTGAATGCCAAGATGAATGTCAAGTTAGATATCTAGGTCAAGGTCAAGGTGGAAGAGTCGGATTTGATTGCTTCCCTGCTAGAAATTCTCATTTAACAAAATATATATTGTTCATCGTGCAACTGACACCTTTTGTACACTATTGCGACTGTCACGTGGAACACTTGAAATAAAGTACGAGGGCTGGCTGAAAAGTTCTAAGCCTAACTGTGAAAGACCAGTACCAATCCGATGGTTTTCATTTATTTCTCCACATAGTCCCCTTCCAGGTTAACACACTTTTGCTAGCAATGCTGCAAGGCCCGGATGCCGGTCAAGAAGAAATTTTCTTCAGCCACCCTAAAAAGTCATTCACAGGGAACATGGCGACCGGCTAGTTCCTTTTTCATTTTGGGAAACAGGTGGAAGTCTGACGGGGCCAAATCAGGTGAATAAGGGGGATGGTCAATTAGTTCCAAGCCACAATCATGGATCGCTGATATGATTTGTGAACAGGAGGATAAATTGTCACGGGACGTCATCTGACACGTTTCTGATCCGCTGTCAAGAGCTTTGGCACCCATCTTGCAGAAACTTTTGTCATTCCCAACTCGTTGGTGATAATGTGCTCAACCCTCTCATGAGAGATGCCCACAACACTGGCAATATGTCGAGTGGTCAATCGTCGATCAGCCATCACCATGTCTTGCACCCGGGTAATGTTTTCCGGAATGGTTGCTGTTGAAGGCCTTCCTGGACGCGGGTCATCGTCAAAGCTCTCTCTGTCACGCTTGAATTCCGCAGCCCACTTCTTACAGTGGAAAAGGAAGGGGCATCATCCCCTAAAGTGGAGACCATGTCAGCATGTAACTGTGTGGGAGTTAACCCTTTCAGTGGCAGGTACTTGATGACTGCCCTATAGCCAGTTTTGTCTTTTTCTGATGATTTCTATGGGTAGGTTCACAAGATGGTCTGGTACAAAGACAATACTAATACTACAGTTGCAGTTCTTATGTCTATGATTCATTAAATGATTGTACTTGTTGGTGGCAAATGTTTGTTTCAATCCGATTGAGATATCCCACTTAGGCTTAGAACTTTTCAGCCAGCCCTCGTAACTTCATACTATTTTGATACATTGTCAAACAGCTTTCAAGAAGGTGTCTGACAAAATGGCGGACTCGCTTCGCATTTTCTGATTGGTCAATCATATGGTTTGACTGACAGGTGGCGTTATGTTAATTAGTTAGTAATATACCTGCACTGAGCCAATTCCGGAGAGGTACACTGCATTGTCGCCACGCTCCACTCCAAGTCAAAGGGGCACTGCATGATGGTTCCAATCTGGTTGACACACACAATGTACCTGGTGCAGTCTCCGCACAGGGGGAATTGTCCTCCGCTCTCTTGTCCAACACAGGTGCTCCGACACTGCCCTGGAGAAGTAATCAAGAACGACAGAATTTGACGTAATGAACACGTAACACTGACAACCATTGTGGATACTGAACACATAACACTGAACACCATGGTGTATACTGAATACTGAACACTGAACACCATGGTGGATACTGAACACTTAACACTGACGACCATGGTGGATACTGAACACGTAACACTGACAACCATTGTGGATACTGAACACATAACACTGACCACCATGGTGAATACTGAATACTGAACACTGAACACCATGGTGGATACTGAAAACGTAACACTGACCACCATGGTGAATACTGAATACTGAACACTGAACACCATGGTGGATACTGAACACGTAACACTGACCGCAATGGTGAATACTGAATACTTAACACTGACGACCATGGTGGATACTGAACACGTAACACTGACCGCAATGGTGAATACTGAACACTTTACACTGACCACCATGGTGGCTACTGAACACGTAACACTGACAACCATTGTGGATACTGAACACATAACACCGACCACCATGGTGAATACTGAATACTGAACACTGAACAAGATGGTGGATACTGAACACGTAACACTGACCGCAATGGTGAATACTGAACACATAACACTGACCACCATGGTGAATACTGAATACTGAACACTGAACACCATGGTGGATACTGAACACTTAACACTGACCACCATGGTGGATACTGAACACTTAACACTGACCACCATGGTGGATACTGAACACTTAACACTGACCACCATGGTGGATACTGAACACTTAACACTGAACACCATGGTGGATACTGAACACGTAACACTGACCACCATGGTGGATACTGAACACTTAACACTGAACACCATGGTGGATACTGAACACGTAACACTGACAACCATGGTGGCTACTGAACACTTAACACTGACAACCATGGTGGATGCTGAACACGTAACACTGACAACCATGGTGGCTACTGAATGCTGAGCACTGACCGCCATGGTGGATACTGAACACTTAACACTGACCACCATGGCGGATACTGAACACGTAACACTGACCACCATGGTGGATACTGAACACGTAACACTGACCACCATGGTGGATACTGAACACGTAACACTGACCACCATGGCGGATACTGAACACGTAACACTGACCACCATGGTGGTTACTGAACACGTTACACTGACCACCATGGTGAATACTGAACACTTAACACTGACCACCATGGTGAATACTGAACGCGTAACACTGACCACCATGGTGGATACTGAACACGTAACACTGACCACCATGGTGGCTACTGAAAACGTAACACTTAACACAATTGTGGATACTGAACACTTAACACTGACCACCACAGTGGATACTAAACACTTAACACTGAACACCATGGTGGCTACTGAAAACTTAACAATGAACACCATGGTGAATACTGAACACGTAACACTGACCACCGTGGTGAATACTGAACACTTAACACTGACCACCATGGTGGATACTGAACACTTAACACTGTGCACCATGGTGGATACTGAACACTTAACAATAAATACCATGGTGAATACTGAACACTTAACACTGACCATCATGGTGGCTACTGAACACGTAACACTGACCACCATGGTGAATACTGAACACTTCATACTGAACACCATGGTGAATACTGAACACTTAACAATGAACACCATGATGAATACTGAACACGTAACACTGACCACCATGGTGAATACTGAACACTTAACACTGACCACCATGGTGGATACTGAACACTTAACAATGAACACCATGGTGAATACTGAACACGTAACACTGACCACCATGGTGAATACTGAACACTTAACACTGACCACCATTGTGGATACTGAACACTTAACACTGTGCACCATGGTGGATACTGAACACTTAACAATGAATACCATGGTGAATACTGAACACTTATCACTGACCACCATGGTGGCTACTGAAAACGTAACACTTAACACAATTGTGGATACTGAACACTTAACACTGACCACCATGGTGGACACTGAACACTTTACACTGACCACCATGGTGAATACTGAACACATAACACTGACCACCATGGTGAATACTGAACACTGAACACTGACCACCATGGTGGATACTGAACACTTAACACTGACCACCATGGTGGATACTGAACACGTAACACTGACCACCATGGTGAAAACTGAGCACGTAACACTGACCACCATGGTGGATACTGAACACTTAACACTGACCACCGTCGTGAATACTGAAAACGTAACACTGACCGCCATGGCGGATACTGAACACGTAATACTGACCACCATGGTGGATACTGAACACGTAACACTGACCACCATGGTGAATACTGAACACTTAACACTGACCACCATGGTGAATACTGAACGCGTAACACTGACCACCATGGTGGATACTGAACACTTAACACTGACCACCATGGTGGCTACTGAAAACGTAACACTTAACACAATTGTGGATACTGAACACTTAACACTGACCACCACGGTGGATACTAAACACTTAACACTGAACACTATGGTGGCTACTGAACACTTAACAATGAACACCATGGTGAATACTGAACACGTAACACTGACCACCGTGGTGAATACTGAACACTTAACACTGACCACCATGGTGGCTACTGAAAACGTAACACTGACCACCATGGTGAATACTGACCACCATGGTGAATACTGAACACTTCATACTGAACACCATGGTGAATACTGAACACTTAACAATGAACACCATGGTGAATACTGAACACGTAACACTGACCACCATGGTGAATACTGAACACTTAACACTGACCACCATGGTGGATACTGAACACTTAACAATGAACACCATGGTGAATACTGAACACGTAACACTGACCACCATGGTGAATACTGAACACTTAACACTGACCACCATTGTGGATACTAAACACTTAACACTGTGCACCATGGTGGATACTGAACACTTAACAATGAATACCATGGTGAATACTGAACACTTATCACTGACCACCATGGTGGCTACTGAAAACGTAACACTTAACACAATTGTGGATACTGAACACTTAACACTGACCACCATGGTGGACACTGAACACTTTACACTGACCACCATGGTGAATACTGAACACGTAACACTGACCACCATGGTGAATACTGAACACTGAACACTGACCACCATGGTGGATACTGAACACTTAACACTGACCACCATGGTGGATACTGAACACGTAACACTGACCACCATGGTGAATACTGAACACGTAACACTGACCACCATGGTGGATACTGAACACTTAACACTGACCACCATGGTGGATACTGAACACGTAACACTGACCACCATGGTGAAAACTGAGCACGTAACAATGACCACCATGGTGGATACTGAACACTTAACACTGACCACCATCGTGAATACTGAAAACGTAACACTGACCACCATGGTGAATACTGAACACCATGGTGAATACTGAACACGTAACACTGACCACCATGGTGAATACTGACCAACATGGTGAATAATGAACACTTCATACTGAAAACCATGGTGAATACTGACCACCATGGTGAATACTGAACACTTCATACTGAACACCATGGTGAATACTGAACACTTCATACTGAACACCATGGTGAATACTGAAAACGTAACACTGAACACCATGGTGGATACTGAACACGTAACACTGACCACCATGGTGGATACTGAACACGTAACACTGACCACCATGGTGAATACTGAACACGTAACACTGACCACCATGGTTGATACTGAACACTTAACACTGACCACCATGGTGAATACTGAAAACGTAACACTGACCACCATGGTTGATACTGAACACGTAACACTGACCACCATGGTGAATAATGAAAACGTAACACTGACCACCATGGTGAATACTGAACACTGAACACTGAACACTGACCACGATGGTGGATACTGAACAGTTAACACTGACCACCATGGTGAATACTGAACACCATGGTGAATACTGAACACGAAACACTGACCACCATGGTGAATACTGACCAACATGGTGAATACTGAACACTTCATACTGAACACCATGGTGAATACTGACCACCATGGTGAATACTGAACACTTCATACTGAACACCATGGTGAATACTGAACACTTCATACTGAACACCATGGTGAATACTGAAAACGTAACACTGACCACCATGGTGGATACTGAACCCTGACCACCATGGTGGATACTGAACACGTAACACTGACCACCATGGTGAATACTGAACACGTAACACTGACCACCATGGTTGGTACTGAACACTTCATACTGAACATCATATTGGATGCTGAACACGTAACACTGAACACCATGGTGAATACTGAACACTGAACACTGACCACCATGGTGAATACTGAAAACGTAACACTGACCACCATGGTTGATACTGAACACTGAACACGTAACACTGACCACCATGGTGGATACTGAACACTTAACACTGACCACCATGGTGGATACTGAACACGTAACACTGACCACCATGGTGAAAACTGAGCACGTAACACTGACCACCATGGTGGATACTGAACACTTAACACTGACCACCATCGTGAATACTGAAAACGTAACACTGACCACCATGGTGAATACTGAACACCATGGTGAATACTGAACACGTAACACTGACCACCATGGTGAATACTGACCAACATGGTGAATAATGAACACTTCATACTGAACACCATGGTGAATACTGACCACCATGGTGAATACTGAACACTTCATACTGAACACCATGGTGAATACTGAACACTTCATACTGACCACCATGGTGAATACTGAAAACGTAACACTGAACAACATGGTGGATACTGAACACGTAACACTGACCACCATGGTGGATACTGAACACGTAACACTGACCACCATGGTGAATACTGAACACGTAACACTGACCACCATGGTTGATACTGAACACTTAACACTGACCACCATGGTGAATACTGAAAACGTAACAC